GTGGTGTTTAGTAGTGACTGTGTGGTAAATAATTCATGATGGCCTAAAGAAAAGGTAAGAGACAGAGTAAATGTCCCTCCACCATTAGATTTAAGTGACTGTAACATAGAGCTTGGAGGGCCCGGTGACCTAGTGCTTGGCACACCTGACCTCCTGCCACTTTCTTCCCTGGTTTACATGCCTCAGTCTTTTAAGTGGTGGGGTAGGAGATCCAGGCCTTCCGACTCCATCAGGTCCCAGCCCAGGGCTTTGTGTGAGTCGACCCCTGAACTGAACAGGAGACCCTCCATGCAGGGAGTATAAATCCACTGCCATGGGCTCCTTCCTCCACTCTCCCTTCAGTTTGAGGCATGGGTTCTATAGTCCAATTGTCTGGGGTGGCTTGCCTCCCATAGTGCCCTCTCGTGGACCTTGGGTGGCACACTAGCGTGGCCCCAGGCTCCTTCGTGTGATGCAGCTGTAAGTTTGGTGAGGCCATCCCACAATGTTTCTGTGCTTCAGTCACTCAGTTACTGGACATTCCTAGGTTGTCTCCACAGTCTGCCTTTGCTTGGGAGACAGTGCTTATTCCCTGGTGGCTGCCTTTACTGGCAGGCTAGTGACCCTTCCCCTCAGGTAGGGAGACAGCTAGCTCCTGCTTCTTCACCACTTAGCCCTGAGCTTTTCTCCCCCCCTCCAGGCCTGTAATGGGCTGCAGGTATAACAAGGTGGGGCTAGCTGAGCCCAAAGTCTCTCTTTGAACCAGTTTCTCTGCTCTAGTCTATTCAAATTCTTATTTGCCTTATGTTTAATCCATTAGGACACAGTAGAGGATTTTAGGGCAGTGGCATTTACCAAGATGTTTTTCCTTACCCAGATTCACTATTCTTCCTCCCTTAAATAGCACTCTATAGCAAAATGGCTTCTCCTTTCAGTCACATTTAGATTTGCACACTGATAGGTCAGAAGAAGCCTTTGTCCTTAGAGTTCCCTTATAACTTAGTATTTACACAGTGCAAATATTCTTGCTTTTTTTGTTTCTGACGAAACAATGTTTAAGCACACTCTAACTTGTGTCTGTGGGTACTTAATGTTGGTTTTAAAGGTCTTCTATCTGTCTTCAGTGTATGACAAGTCTGATTTTTTAAAATATTATTTCTATTGTGTCTGTCTTCCCACATCTTGCCCAGTTTTCTTTCTCAACAAGTGTATGAATGGAAGGAGTTTAAGGATGATTATTCAGCATTGTCAAAACTATCATGAAGAGTTTTAAGATATGAAACATGATCCATTAGGACAATGCCCTTCCTGGTATTACTGCCCTGCTCATGCCTTCTATTTTCAGAACAAACATATGGTACAGACTGGATAGTCAGAATTCATCTGGTAGAATGAGCTGTTGAAATTGAAGGATTTTTAGCACTTAGGGTATGTCTTCACTACCCGCCGTATCAGCGGGTAGCAATCGATTTATCCGGGATCGATATATTGCATCTCGTTAAGACGCGAAATATCGATCCCCGAACGCGCTCACCATCGATGCTGGAACTCCACCAGAGTGAGCGGCAGTAGCGCAGTCTACGGGGAAGCCGCGGCCATCGATCCCGTGCCATGTGGACCCCAGGTAATTCGATCTAAGATACTTCAACTTCAGCTACGCTATTCGCATAGCTAAAGTTGCATATCTTAGATCGATCCCCGCCCCCAGTGTAGACCAGCCCTTAGCTGGAATCGGAGAAGTCTCTATTAATGGGTTCAGGAAGACATCTTAAGTGTCACCAAGGTATTTGGCTGTCCTGTTCTGAAAGGAGGGCAGAAGAGCTAGTGCAGGGGTTGGCAATGTTCAACACGCGGCTCGCCAGGGTAAGCACCCTAGCGGGCCGGGCCAGTTTATTTACCTGCTGACGCGGCAGGTTCAGCCGATCGCGGCCCCCACTCGCCGTGGTTCGCCGTCCCGGGCCAATGGGGGCGGCGGGAAGCCGTGGCCAGCACATCCCTCGGCCTGCGCCGCTTCCCGCCGCCCCCATTGGCCTGGGACGGCGAACCGCAGCGAGTGGGGGCCGCGATCGGCTGAACCTGCCGCGTCAGCAGGTAAATAAACTGGCCCGGCCCTCTAGGGTGCTTATCCTGGCAAGCCGCGTGCTGAACGTTGCCCACCCCTGAGCTAGTGTATATATATTTGGATTCTTGTGAAAATATAACAGACTAGTTGTACTTCTGTCTTAAGAGAAATTTGTTGTGGGTGTAGAATTGGAAGTGCAGCAGATGAACCCCTGGTGGTGGTGGTGATCCCAGACCCGCAAATGCATGTGGAAAGAGTACAATGGAGGATTAATACTGTGCAGACTAGAAGCGAGACCCTTTATATATGTGCTATTATGGCCATTCTTTTCCTTTAGCCTCATGATTTTGTTTAGAATGTTTCATAGCTTTTCACTCAGAAGGGATTGATTTGTCAGAGTTCCTATCAATTCTTAGAAATCTGTTTGTTTCATATATTTTTCCTGATGACATTATTGCTGATCTGTAGTCACATGAGATAACACCTACCCTTCTGACTAGCTTTATTATGCTATTCTTCAATTAGGGCCACATTGTTCACTCTGCCATAATGCATGGATGAAAATGCATTGGATCCAGGTGAGTGAACACAACATGAGAGTGCTCCCTCTGTCACATCATTCTCCCTCTCCCATGGCTTGCAGCAGTCTGTAGGCCTACACTCAGGCAGTGTCTAGGAGGGTTAGATATTAAGCTGTAGACCAGGATTAAGCAGCTGTGGAAGTAGGTGGGATTTGAAAAGGGATAAATATTGTCCACTGAATTATCTCCATCCTAATCTCCTCTCTCCTGAGGAGGATTTCTGGAGGAAGTGTCAGGGAGGAAAACCTCTCCAGCAGGAACATAAGAATGGTCATACTGGGTCAGACCAGAGGTCCATCCAGCCCAGTATCTTGTCTTCCAACAGTAACCAGAAACCATGCTGCTTTGGGGCATCATCCAATGCATACAGACGGGCCTCCATGGCACCTATGAGATTGACTGGTTTTGGATGATAAATCCACTCTTTTATCTAGGAAGCAAACCATCTCCCCATGCCTGCAGAAGAATTCATCCTTCAGCCGTGTGAGGGGAAGTTTGCTTTCTCCTGTACAGCAATAGCCCATGTAGAATGTGGTTCCATACACAACTTCACCCCAGATTTTATTTTACGTTCAGAATTAAGACATTTTTAGCCTTCCAAATAGAAAAGAGCTCAAGGTTTTTCTTCCCCAGCCCTCTCTTTGCAGAAGACATCAGGCTTATTGGTTTCTTCACTATTTTTTAGAACTATTAGAAGTTCACATTGATTCTTTCAATGTGAGGCATCACATTTAATGCACGGCAATTCTGGTGACAATCCAGCATTAGTAAACTGTTGTTTATAAATAACGTGAATTTATCCCCCGTCTTGACTTGACGGTTGGAGGGTGTGTGTGTGTGTATTGCAGAGGCGGTCAGAGATTTTATTCTACTGTCATCAAACATTTCATTATCCAACTGACCTGTTGAGTGAGAAAAGGTCTATAGCCTGGATTCCATCCTTTTTTTTTTTAAAGGGATAACCACTGCATTCTCAGTTCACCCTTGGGTCCTGTAGTAAGAATCTTTCTAGCACGAGGTTTCCTGCTGTGTTATACAGAAATGAAAGTTAAAGAAATTTCAGGCCAATTAGGGAGGGCAAAAATGGCTTGGACCTCATGTTAATAGTAATACAAACTCCATAAAAACATGGGTTCACAGACAACCCTTCCTGTTTGTGTTGCCCTGAGAAAGTGCAAGGGTATGCAACATTTTCAGAAAGCACCACAGGAAGTTTTTTATACCTCAGGAAAGTTGGAGGTTGTCCCCAGTTAGAGGAACTGATTCACCTAAATTTGATTTTAGCTCAGAGTCCTTACAAAATCATTCATAACATTATCTATTAGGTTTCTTAATCTAAAAAGTAACCAGAATTTTCAGGTGTTATATTGGTTATCACATAAAGCTCTTATATCCCATATACAACAAATATAACAAACACTGAAAGTCTTATGGCCTAAGTTCCAACTGAGTACAGTCAGTCTAATGGTCTGGTCATATGACCATGAGTTATGTGAGGGATGTGCAAAGATTTAGCCTCCACAAAAAAATGAAGAGTGGGTTTTTATTTATTTATTTATTTATTTTGGAGACAAAGGTTTCTTTCCTTTGTGAACAAGGCAATTTTTAGTTAAATAATTTTCCACCAACAGCAATTGACTGATAAAACTCCAGATCAAAACAAGTTATAAATTATCTCTTTGCTGCATGAAAGTCTGTATTCACTGCTGTAAATGTCAAAATTTGTCTTTCTGAAATATATGAACTCTTGTGGAAATCTGCAAACATCTGTTTTTAAATATGAAGAGTAAAACAGTGTTTTCAAAATAACACAAGTGACACAAACAGACATCCAAATAATCAAACTCTGAGTAATTATGAGATCTATAAACAAACAACTGGGAAATTCTGAAGACGTTCAAGTGACCTGGCAGAATAAGGAGAGAAAGCTATGCATAATACAAATCTGCAAACAGATTACCTGCCACATGAATTTTGTAACTGTTGCCCTGTCTTCTAAAGCATTTTTCATCAGCAGGAGTGAGGAGTTCTTGAGTCAACATGTTAAAGTCTTGTCAGCATTTAAACATTCTGCTTGCAGTATTGTAATGAACATAACAGTTTAATTACAGTATTTTATTGTGTATAATTTAGTAAATGTATACATCTTCAGTAGTTGTGGGGCAGTGCAGAAACCTCATGCAGGTAAGGCGTTAATGCAGGCCATGAAGAGACAGGATGAGGACCAGCTAAGGTCAATTATGATCACTGGAGAGATTTGGCTTTCAGACAAAACTCTGAGTGGAGAGAAGTAACTGCCTCCTCAGAGCCCCAAGGAGAAGACTCAAGGTTAATGAGCTATAGGATCCTGTAAATGGCTAAGCCAAGCACAAGAGGTGGTCAGTGAGTTAGGCTGATTTGTGTTTCTCTGGAGGGACTGGCTGGAGCCAAGCTCGTCTCTTTTGCTTTTCTTGGACTGGATTGCAAAAAGTCACAAGGCAGTTTATTTTGTTCTCCAGTTGTGTGTCCTAGAGGGGAAAGACACCTTTTAGTATGGCTGTAGAGCCACATCGCCCTGCCTGTGAGTGGAAAACCAGGACACAGTCAGAGAAAAGCTGGGGGAGGACTTGCACCTGACACAGAGGTAAGGCACTTTTCCACAGTAGGGCACATAGTTCTGAGCTGCCAGTGATGTAATAATACTATAGTCAGTGAGATGTAGTTACTAGAATATCTAGAACATAAATGTGGGTTTGTTGAAACAAAGTTAATGGACCACACTGTGTCGTTTCTTACATCTTGTGCAGTGTTATGGATTCCAATTGGCTTTCATGGGTGTAAGTCAAAGCTGTGTTTACTACAGTTACTTCACTATAATGACTACCTGAAAATGCTTTATTTAGCACACATGGTAGAAACGTTAACAAAGGACATTATTCTCTAATTGGGGAGTTCTCTAATTGACTTGGATGGGACCAGGATTTGTCCTCCAAATTTGTAAATGCCCACTTAAAGTTATTCTGAAATTTACAAAGCCCTGTGCATGATTTTGTTGCACGGCTTTGATTAAAATCAGTAGAACATAGCTCAGATCCTTTGAAACTTTTGGAAAATGCATCCCCTAATGCATATCCACGTGCAGCCCAAGAGCTGCACACACTTGAAATATCAACATGTTAACCTTCGCAAGGGCAATGTCTGAGAGAAAAATGATCACTTTGATCCTCAGCATGACTCTAAGAATGAGCAACCAAGATTTTGAGATAGTTTGAGAACATTGTGGCTCCTGCAGCTCAGACAAACAATGCTTTATAAGCTCAAAATCAACAAGTCAAAAAGAATGTATATTCTTTGGGGGGGGTGAGGGGAAAGAAAGTGAAATGTCAATGCAACATTAAGGTTCAGTTAACATAGGAAAGTCAAGATGTTTACAGCAACATTATATTGTAAGACATGCATGGGGATTCTGATCACTTCAACAGAACTCTGCATAGTTAGGGTCCACATGGTGCTTTAGATAAAATGCTAGTTTTCTGCCTTATCTCTACCTCTAAATATTTTCACACTATCTGTAAACAATGTATGTCTATGGTACTGTGTAAGGATGCAAATAACTCCACCATCTGATTTGAACAGATATGTAGATTTTTTTTATTCCTGCTTTCCCTTTTTAAGCATAACCCTGAATGCACAACTGAGGATATTTTAAACATGATTTTGAACATATAGGAAACAGAATATGGCTAAGAAAGAAGTAATGTCAGAATCTTAATTCTTTTATTTCCTTATGATTTAGATATTCATTGTACAACTTTAAACATGAAACACTATTACTACAATGTTAATTAACAATTTGTTAGTCCAATGAAGCCTAGTACTGGAAGTTAAGCAGTTTAGCCTTGCTATAGGATAGGAAACTTAAAGTGCTGCGCACCAGGATGTGCCTATATGACTTAATAGGGATAAGAAGTGACTTTCATTCAAAGCAGAACTCTTATCCTAGTTCTATTAGCAGATTAGCAATACTACCATTTGTTTGTAGCAAACATAGCATAGCAAAGCTTATTTTAAAGAGAAAATTCTAAGGTACACTGGCACAGCAGACAGTGCTCCTGGCAAATATGATGCACACTTAGTAAAATGAATGCATGTTAAAAACAACATAGTTTTCCAGGTACTGATGCATGTATTTCTGGAGCTAATAAATTTCCATTATTTAAGTGCAAGCACAGAATCTAGAGTATTAATACTTACTGGCAGGACCCAATGGCTGCGAGGGCTTAATTGCACAGGATTGTCTGTAACTGGCTGAGTTACTTACTTAGGATTGTGGTGAATTCCCCAGCAAGATTTGGATGTTTTTCTACAGGAGGGTCTCTAGTTCAAATAGGCCACAAGATTTCCCTGAGTTAATTCCTGTGTCATACAGGAGGTCAGACTAGAGGATCACAACAGTCGCTTCTGGGCTTTAAAGTATGACCCTAAATACCTTTTTAAAATGAACTTTTGTTCAAACAATGTTAATAAAATGGAAGCATATTGCTGTAGTTGGAGATAGTTTCTAAAAGCTATTTGTGTAAATAAATGCAACCTCACTGAGATTACGTTATGCTTCCTAAAACCAGTACATCTAGCTATGTTGACCAAATTGCACAAGTGCCTCAACCCAAGCAACTTGGATCAAACAATACAGCATCCGAATCTGAGTGAAACACTTTTGCTTCTGTAAACATATAATTATATGGAAGTGGAAGCACGTTCATATCCTTAATGGATCTATTTGAATACAAATCACTGTGGTGTCAGTCTTACCATCAGAACAATGCAACATCACTTATTTTGCTTCCTCATCTGGCAGCATCTCATTTATTTATTATCTTGCTTCTTGCTTGCTCTCAGCTAATTATACAAGCGCCTGTAAGAAGATCTTTAAATCCTTCATCTCATGAAGCAAGCTCTAAACCAAATTTAATTTCAAAGTAGCTATATAATTGATCTGTCTGGCTGACAGTTTCTTTAAGATGTTTGAAAACCTTCACAAATTATCTTGAAAGCAAGTGCTTCTGTGCACCATAATCATTGTACGTTCATGTTTTTAAAGAAGATTTTGCTTCAAACTGAGCTGGGCATACCCAAAGTCTCCCCAGTTAGGCAGTAAGGGTGAACCATTTTGCTTCTAATTGCCAAAAGAACACACGCAAATTGATGTAAGCACAGGGTCTTCAGCTATATTCTCAGTGGAATGTCAGCTGTTGCCTTTGTACTTGCTTAAGTCAGTGTCTTTAGCATAACTCTGAATGGTTAGAATTGAAATCATGATATAGGCCACCAATATCAATGAAATTCTTATGCATAGAGCTTAGCCTGGCACCTTTATAACTATCCTAACAGCTGATGATCAACAAATCTTAGAAACCACCACATAAGGCCTCCCTTCACTCTCAGTTTAGCTTCCTTCAGCTGCTTGATTCATCTTGATGCTGTATTTAATGAGGGAACATCATTTATGGTCACAGTGGTATTTGCCCCACCTCCCTGAAAAGACAAGAGGAGCACATCATGCCACCAAACTATCTCTGACTCTATCTCTACTAAAAATAAAAAGCCTATGACAGCACATATGGCTTTATTGTACTCATTTTGGTACACAGACCTTGGGTTTATCCTCACTTTGCTGAAAGACACTATTATTCCAATAGTGCTAACAAGGGAAGTTAATATAAGTATGTATTTTCACATGCTGAATGAGACTATATACTTCCCCCAAGTAGGTCCCAAGAAAATGTAAGCAGCTTTTCTATTAACTGTTCTAAATCACAATAGGGGCCAGGTTCAGGTGACAAAACAATATATTCTATTGGCCAGTCTGGGTATGTTCTAACTAACAAAAGAGGCATAATGGGGCTATCTGGAAAGACGGTCCCCGACTTGCTGTGCTCTAAGAAATGAAAAATAAGAGGCTAATTTACCAGTCTGGAGTTTATTTCAGCAAGGGGCGGATGCTGAATCTAATAAAATCAGAGGGTGGCAACTCTGGTTATCAACTTCCTAAGCAGCATGAAAACTGGATGTGGCACAATGATATGTGAGCGGTGATTCTGTAAAGGAATGGGCCCTGCCTCTGAGCTCCAGTTGGTTAGACGATGGGCAGGGAGAAAGAATTGATCACTCTGTTCACCCAGAGTGCTGATGGATTAGTGCAGGCAGGAAATTCCACCCCTGGCTTCATGCTACCAGCTGACTTCGCACTGGAGGATGGAGATGGTACCCTATAATAGAATAATTAATGGAGATATCCCATCTCCTAGAACTGGAAGGGACCTTGAAAGGTCATTGAGTCCAGCCCCCTGCCTTCACTAGCAGGACCATATACTGATTTTGCCCCAGCTCCCCAAGTGGCCCCCTCAAGGATTGAACTCACAACCCTGGGTTTAGCAGGCCAATGCTCAAACCACTGAGCTATCCCTCCCCAGAAAGGGAATACATCTTCCTGTTGTAAAGATGCGGTAGGACAAACAGCCTGAGTTTGGAGATGAAAGATGGGTGCTGGGAGCAGCAGTGTACATGGAAATTATAAGATCACATTGCATGCTAGAATCTGTCCCCTCCCCAAAGGGAAGAATAATCCCTTAATCTATGACTGAGGCTACAGGATCAGTTTGGATTGGTTGCTAATGCTGACTCTAATGAATTGTTTAATAATAATGCTAGTTTTTTTCTATGATATTATGAGTCTTACAATGGTTTTGGAATATATTCACACATTTTAGCTATTCTGGGTAACTTCTGCCTTCCCCAAAGTTGTAGAAGGGTTCTGACCTTGCGTTGAGGGGTGGGTATCTGGGACAATTGAGGAAAAAGGAGCACCACTACACAGGTAACTGACACCAGTAAAACAAGTGTTAAGACACAACCTGTGTGTCTAACACATTTCTCCTTCCATCTACGTTTAAAGGTGTCTGTTCTCTGGAACAAACGGTTATATCAAATCTAACTATTAGTAATGTTGATGCATGTGGTTAGTGATCTTATATGTGGGTTGTCTCCAACTGAACCATTGATTCCACCAGATGTGTGAAGTTTGGCAGTATGGCTGCTCCCTGATGGTACACAGTGCAGGGTAGTCAGAAATAATTGGTCTGGCTACAGCCCAAAACATCTGGGAAAGAATTTTGGTCTGGGCCTTCAGTACAAAGATCATTTTCTAGCTAGCCAGCTAGTGCAAAAATGACTTTGCTGGTTCCAAAAAATGAAGTGGGCTAAAAAACTAATTACATTGTTGATTCATCTAGATTTGACCCAGTGTGGTGTAAAATCTATGTTTTAAGGTATCACTGCCTATTACAAATTCTAGACAGAACTTCTTCTGAAAAGTTTCCTTTGTTTGAAATTCCATAAGCAAAGCAAAATCTGTGGTAAGCCACTCATTTAAATCCAAATTTTCTTTTCCTTATTAGGTACCTGCAAATATAAAATAATCATACTATATTTGCTTGGTAGCTTGATTTGTATTAAAACATCCAATATTCAAGAATTGATCCATGCTTTTATTAATGTTAACCAACTGGCTTATGTAAGGAAATGTCCTTTATGTTGAAATATTATAATTGTACCCTTTATACTGTTAGTGTTTTGCTTTTTTTG